GGGAGAGAGAGACGGGGTCGGGGGGGAGAAAAAAGAGACAAGGTTTGGGGGAGATGAACGCACTACAGGGAGACAGACACAAGGTACAGGGAGAAAAATACAAGGTATAGGGAGATGGATGTGAGATTTAGGGAAGTAGGAGATAGAGGGAGAAAAATGAGATATAGGGAGACAGACACGATATAGGGAGCTCCATACGTCCCACGTGCGTCACAGAGGTTGAACGCTTACAACCGTAGAATAAATAAGGAGAAAAGCCTCATCCACCTCCTCGGTAACACCCCCTGAGCGCACTGCACTGATGGCAGCAGCCCCAAAAATCACTGTAGCCACGGCTTCTCTTTGCAAATTTAGGTGATGGGCAGGCCAGCAAGCAAAACCAGTAAAATAACGAGGTTTTACACTGCGTAAGGAACAAGTCCGGCGAGGTTTGCTGAGCCCCTACCCTTTTTTAGGGTCTTCAATGCAGCTCCTCAGCGTCCCGTCTCGTTTCAGCTTCTGCACGTGTCGCTTCAGGTCTTCTGACACCGAGTGCACTGGAGACAAACCCAAAAAACGCCTCAAAAACTGAGAAACAAGGCTCAGATCCTGCTCTGATTCCTTATCACAAGGCATTTTAGTTATTATTGATGCTGTTGCTGGAGGAGTAATTCCTCTCTGCGGCCATGGTTTACTTTAGGGTGTCCATTTGCCTTCCCTCCCAGAAGCTGGGGTCACGCACAGCACCTTAAAACCATAAACGTCTCTGTTTTTTGCTGCACCCACCATTAGCTTCGAAAGCCTCAGGGCTAAAGCCGTCGGTTTGCTTCAAGACACATTCGAGCTTCTGCGCAGAAAACTAAGATGAAAAACAGAAAAGAGCCTTGCTATGACAAAGGAGTCCCTTCTCCTCATGTATTTCACAACTCGGTGTTGCAAATCCGAATGTATTTAGTGGCAGAAGAACAGCAAAGGAAAAATAATTCGGTTTTTAAAAAGAGAATATCTTACCTGGAAGCTGGACAGCAGCAGCATAGAAAGCCGGTCTGTCTCGGGCAGATCCAGGCTAATCGATTTGCTCAATTCTGAAAAATCAGAACAAAATTGCTTAAGAACAATTAAATTCACACCAGTGGCTGGAATATTCCAGGAAGGCACTAAAAGCTGTTGTTGTACAGGAGTGCAGCTTGCAGGATACGGAAAGAGCAGGGAAAAGAGGGAGAAACAGAGCTCATGAGGAGACAAAGTCACATTTAAGGCTCAAACACGGAAATAAAAAGGCAGAGACTGCAAACCAGTGATCTGCAAAAGGCATTAATGCAGCATCTCCTCTTATTCTCAAGTACCCAGACCTCCAAGACCACTGCCAACGCGGACATCAGTGGCTACTGGCTAGGAATAATGCAATTAGACTGTAATTACCCTAAAGGTTGTGCCAGGAAATTAAGCATCAACTTGGTGCACACTGCCCTACAAGAGACCCTGACAAAGGGAGGAAGCGGAGCAGGTACCAGTGACATCTTGGTGAACAGGAGGCAGAGATTTTCGGTGTTTGGTGCCCTTCAGGCTCGACCGACACCAAGAGCGACGCTTGGCTTGAGAAGAGGCGACGAGCAGCCTCGGGGACAAGTTAAAAGAATGGTTATTCACGGGACTGCTTTTGCAGGGAGAAATCTGAATGGGCCTGGGTCTGAGGGGGCTTTTCTCGATGCTGGGACTTTCATGGGATCTTTTCCTCGCAGCCGCTCTGGTCGTCTCACGGGGACTATCGTTCTTCGTGCTAACAGCAGTTATATCAGACGGCCTTAGGAATGGGTCAGGATCCATCTTCTTTTCTCCAGAGTCAGGATCTGATGAAAACGGACACAATCAGTATGAGTCAAGTGAAAGGAAAAGGTCCTTCCTAGAGATTCAAAAGCACTGAACTTGTTTTTTGCGCTTTGCTTCCCAGCTCGGAGCAGCAGCAGCGCTGAGGTGCAATGGCCGCATCACCGCTTCACAGCCTCCCAGGACTGCCAGTGCCTCCGGTTCTCTCTTCCAGCACGGAGATCCTTCACCCGGGCCAGGCCCTCCCAGCCCCGCC